ACCTCTCTGGAAACGGGGAAAAATGGTTTGACCAGCAACCCCTTAACATGTATGGCTCACATGGTGACTAGTTAAGGGTCTTCTGAAATCGGATGTGTTGGATTGACAACCTAGTGTAAATCACAGCAGTTGGCTGTTGGGATTTTTAAAAACAAGACCAAAGCATCTTCTGCCTCCAACCTTATAAGCTGAAATATTGATTTATATCTGGATGTGCCTTCCTAGTCAGATTGTGAGCTATGTTAACTTAGAATGTAATCACAGCTCGACCTACTTTTTTAATGCCCATTAAGAATGTCAGTTGAACATGTAATGTGCCCATATTAATGCTAGTCATTGTTTCAGCACTGAGATTGCTGTTCGGAATATTCGGCTGGCACACAAAATTACACCTTGGGTGCGCCAGATTGACACAGTGGCGGCGGAGTGGCCAGCCAGCACAAACTACCTATATTTGACATACAGTGGCATTGAGCACGATGTCCAGTTCCCTGGCAAGCATGTCATGGTGCTGGGCTCCGGCGTCTACCGCATCGGGAGCAGCGTGGAGTTTGATTGGTGTGCGGTCAACTGCATCAGGACACTGAGGGAGGTATGTGCTTGTTTTCTTCTCTCTGGCATGGTTCTCTTTTAGCCTTTGATGTGGTGCAGTCGGAACAGTTGCAGTTAGTACCACACATTTATTCTTATTCCCTGTGCTTGTTTTCTTCTCTCTGGCATGGTTCTCTTTTAACCTTTGATGTGGTGCAGTCGAAACAGTTGCAGTTAGTACCACACATTTATTCTTATTCCCTGTGCTTGTTTTCATTTTAGGTGTTAAATATTTTAATAGCTACAACATCATTTCTTTCTTTCTGTGTGTTGTGTTTTGTCAAACAGATGCCTATTTTGTTTTCAAATGGTTTGGCCATTTGATGAGAATGCCCTGGTATCAACTGCCACACAAAGCCACGCTAAAAAAATCTAATGGACACAGAGCAGGGTGAAGACCACGCAAAATATGGAACGGTGGCATCAGGAACAACCTTGGAGAAGTGATCAACTTATACAACACATTAGACAGAGAAGCCAGACCATCATGACATCCGCCCCGAACACTTTGATGGAGTAATTGGAGGAAGAGATAAAAAGGCAGTAGTAGCTGGGATATATGTCCATTTCTGGATATATGTCCATTTCTGGATATATGTCCATTTCTGGATATATAATTGTGTTATCTAATGGTCATCAGGGGTACATTTATTTGTTCATCTGTAATGGAAAAAAAAGGTGGGGGGGGAGAAGAAAAAACTCAACTAATAAATGTATAGTAAGAGATGACCGCTTAGGGTGTTTCTTTCAAAGTTGGGGTGCATCTGTTAGAGGCGAGAAACCAGCAGTCTGCATAAAAATAAGCCAAATCTATAAAACAGATGTGCATGCAAAACCCAGCCAGTGAGTGTGCTATAACCCATACTTCTTTGCATTGCTTGACCACTGAGCTGGTGGAGAACCATGAGGCTACAGCAAACACAACAACATTAGGCTCTGCTTGGTCAGTTAGCAATCTTCTGGAAAACCTCCAGTCATGGGGTTAGGTCAGAATGAGGTATTTTGTATGCGTCCTGTTTCACCTACTTCTGAAATGGATGCCAGGAAAATGTATGGGTAGTAAAGGCAGTTGACAACATCACTCATCATGTGTCACCTGGTCTATAACAGTTTGAATCTGGAACCATATGCCTTTTGCCACTGGTGTGAAAAGATTCTTTTAAACTTGTAACCTTTGATGTGACATTTTTTCTCTGAATCTCCCGCAGATGGGTCGGAAAACTATCATGGTCAACTATAATCCGGAGACAGTCAGCACAGACTACGACATGTGTGACAGGCTTTACTTTGATGAAATCTCCTTTTGAGGTAGGTGGTGCTTCTCTAGGTGGTGCTTCTCTAGGTGGTGCTTCTCTAGGTGGGGCTTCTCTAGGTGGGGCTTCTCTAGGTGGGGCTTCTCTAGGTGGGGCTTCTCTAGGTGGGGCTTCTCTAGGTGGGGGCTTCTCTAGGTGGGGCTTCTCTAGGTGGGGCTTCTCTAGGTGGGGCTTCTCTAGGTGGGGCTTCTCTAGGTGGGGCTTCTCTAGGTGGGGCTTCTCTAGGTGGGGCTTCTCTAGGTGGGGCTTCTCTAGGTGGGGCTTCTCTAGGTGGTGTAGTTAAAAAACCAGTTAAAATTTTTAATCTTATTTTAGCGCCTGTTTGGTGATTCACTGTTTACCTCTCATTATGTGTTTAGTGTATTGAGCTTATGTTTGTCTTCTAAATGTATTCAGTATCTCACCAGCTAATGGTTGTTTGGTTTAGACAATACACATCTTGCATTATATTCCCAACATGGAACTTTGGCACTGCAAATAAGGTCCTTGAGCTTTCATTTAATTTTGTTTTGTTTCACATTCAAAATAAAAGCATGGCAAGTCCAGTACATTCGTGGTTCCTTATGATCATTTCATAGATGTTTATTTTGTGTCCCTTACAAACTGGACAACAGTTTACATTTTGGTGGTCCAATATCGCAAATAACCAGCTGGTCAATGATGCTGTAACTGGCACAAGAACAGAGCAGTGATGGGGTGACCCGTCTGCAGTGATGGGGTGACCCGTCTGCAGTGATGGGGTGACCCGCCTGCAGTGATGTGGTGACCCATCTGCAGTGATGGGGTGACCCACCTGCAGTAATGGGGTGACCCGCCTGCGGTGATGGGGTGACCCGCCTGCAGTGATGGGGGCGACCGGCCTGCAGTGATGGGGGCGACCCGCCTGCAGTGATGGAGGCGACCCGCCTGCAGTGATGGGGCGACCCGTCTGCAGTGACCTGGACTGACGCCTGCTAACAACATTGTTTCCATTGTTTCTGCAGACTGTGATGGACATCTACAACATTGAGAATCCTTCAGGTATCATTCTGTCCATGGGTGGCCAGCTGCCAAACAACATCGCCATGGATTTGCATCGGCAGCAGGTAAGGAATTTTTTTTTTTTTTTAGATGATCTTTTGGGATGAAAAATATATTTTTCTTTGCTCTGAAATGTTTGACTTTGACATATCATGCACAAATGTTCAGGTATAAATCCCTGTGTATGTGGGGGCCGCATTTAAGGGGGGGGGGGGGGGGGGGGGGGGGGGGGGGGGGGGGGGGGGGGGGGGGGGGGGCACTGGTTCTCCTAACAAGCATGACATAAAAGAATATTTCTTTGAAACTGGAATGCAATGCATCTTCCTGTTGAAGAACCAGGAGTTTACATACAAATAAGCCAGATCTGTAAAGCGGATCTGCATGTAAAGTTCACATTCTGGAAGAAGACTCAAGTCCAGAAGTAGACTAGCAATCAGAACTCTGGAGTTTTTAGCTGGTGAACTGAAGGAGAAAACAGAAATCAACCTTCCTCCTCACCCAACATGCACATCACAGAAGTTGACTAATCAAATGTATTTCCTTCAAAGTCAGAGTGCATTGACATGAGCGGCCAGGAGCCAACAGTCTGCACACAAATTAGCCACATCTATCAAATGGATGAGTATGCAAAACTTATGTCCTGTAACAGAGCCAAAGTCCAGAAGTGGCTGAACCACCAGGATATGTTGCACCCCCCTTTTTTTTTTTTGTCACTGTGTAATTTTACCGAGGGTATTTATTCTGTTGACAGTTATTGTTTAATGTCTGAACATTTGCCATAGAATGTCTGAACATTTGTTATAGAATGTCTGAACATTTGCCATAGAATGTCTGAACATTTGTTATAGAATGTCTGAACATTTGCCATATAATGTCTGAACATTTGCCATATAATGTCTGAACATTTGCCATAGAATGTCTGATCATTTGTTATAGAATGTCTGAACATTTGTTATAGAATGTCTGAACATTTGCCATAGAATGTCTGAACATTTGCCATAGAATGTCTGAACATTTGCCATAGAATGTCTGACCATTTGCCATAGAATGTCTGACCATTTGCCATAGAATGTCTGACCATTTGCCATAGAATGTCTGAACATTTGCCATAGAATGTCTGAACATTTGTTATAGAATGTCTGAACATTTGCCATAAAATATCTGAACATTTGCCATAGAATGTCTGAACATTTGCCATAGAATGTCTGAACATTTGCCATAGAATGTCTGAACATTTGTTATAGAATGTCTGAACATTTGTTATAGAATGTCTGAACATTTGCCATAGAATGTCTGAACGTTATAGAATGTCTGAACATTTGTTATAGAATGTCTGAACATTTGCCATAGAATGTCTGAACATTTGCCATAGGTTGGGAACACTGGGGGCAAAAATGAACAGACAATAATGAGTACATTGTTGAACTATAAAAGAATCTGCAGCAAATAAAACTAAAGACTTATGGTGTGAAATGTGTTTGCTGACTTATTTTTCCAGGCTGTTGTTTTGGGCACCTCCCCAGACAGCATTGATAATGCAGAGAACAGGTTCAAGTTTTCCCGCTTGCTGGACAACCTCAAGATCAACCAGCCCCAGTGGAGGGAGCTCTCCACAATAGAGGTTAGTCTTGCGCAGATCCTCCTTCTCATAACATGTGCTAGCACATCATGGATGATTTGTCCAGGAAATTATGGTGTGTGAGGTAACTAGCAGGCTGATAGATTAGCTGCTGCTCTGATTAAGCAGACATGGTGAAGACACTTTTGGATCAAATGGACAGTGCAGTGGAGCAGAGAATCCATACCTTTAAAGAGTAATTTAGAGGGAGGTGAGCAGAGGTTCTAGAAGATATTTAACACTGAAGGAGAAACAAAGGTGGACTTTTAACTGGTTGCAACTGGTACTGTTAGCATGTTGACTCTTTGTTGGCTACTGAAGAAGGGGAGGGAGCACCTGTAGGAATGTCCCATGTGCAGTGCTCTCAGTTCTTTATTTGTTCAAAGCCTATGCCCAATAATGCTGAGCTCACAGACTTCTGTATCAGGGTACTGTCGATGGTGTCTCATACAGATATTCTTTCATGCCGTTATGGCAGATTTGTTCTCTTGGGTCCTTCAAAGTTCCTGTTTTGTTATACTCCATCCTTTTCTTTCTTTTTGTGTCGTGGCTTATACTCCAGCTTTTTCTTTCTTTTCATGTCGTGGCTTATATTCCAGCTTTTTCTTTCTTTTTCGTGTCGTGGCTTATATTCCAGCTTTTTTTTTTTCTTCGTTGCAGCTTTTCCAGCTTTTTTTTCTTGTTGTGGCTTATATTCCAGCTTTTTTTTCTCTTTTGTGTCATGGCTTATACGGCTTTTTCTTTCAGCTTTTATACTTTCTTTTCTTTCTTCTTGTGTTGTGGCTTATATTCCAGCTTTTTCTTTCTTCTCGTGTCGTGGCTTTTATTCCAGCTTTTTCTTTCTTCGCGTGTCGTGGCTCAAAATATGGTTTGATGCAGAGTAATTCTTTTTGTTATCTCAGTTTCAAACTCTGCCATTTGATTCATGATTGCATGTTTCTGAGACCCCTTTGGAACTATAAAGTTTGTCCCATGTACATTGCTTTGGATGTTTTCTCTTAGTCATGCCTGTGTATTGGGAAACAAACAGGCAAATAGACTGGCTGATTCTGTACCAGTAGTTGGTGAGTAGATGCATGATAAACTTGATATAAGGGCTCTTTAAGAGCGAAGGAACAATGAGGAGGAACAGATAGATGTTCACTGTCTGAGGAGAATGGTGCTGTGAGAAATGTGACCAGGGGATCCGGCCAATGCTCAAGAGGAAGTGAGATGGAGATACAGACTGTTGTGGTGCCATTGGAATTGAAACTGCACATGCTGCTGAATATGGGGATGGGTCACTTATGGGAATGTTCCCGAGTACTGTGAAATTGATTCTTAATGCAGCATTCGCTTGTACATTATTCTGCAGCCACCAATACTGGGACCACAAAGGGTAAGACCTAGTGCAGTGAAGTTGGTCATCTTGCCATTAAAAGATTCTTGCGTCACATTGTATTGCACACTTGCTCAAAAGTATACATGCAAGGTTTATTGGCTTTATATTTCAGTCTGCACTTGCCTTCTGTGAAGAAGTTGGCTATCCCTGTTTGATCCGACCCTCATACGTCCTCAGTGGGGCCGCCATGAATGTGGCCATGAGCAAACATGATCTGGAGAATTTCCTCTCGCAGGCGGCTGCCGTGTCCAAGGATTACCCGGTTGTCATATCAAAGTTTATACTGGAAGCCAAGGTATGGTCCAGTGATGATTCGTGTCACTGTTGCAGTTTATTGAGAGTTGTTTCCTTATCTTGTTCATAGAGACATGTAGCGCTTTGTGTTTATTGTAACGGTTGTATTTTTTTTTACATTTATCTCTTTCTGTGGGTTCCAGGGCCCTATTGGGGGGGGGGGGGGGGGGGGAATAGACCCACTTCTGCCCTAGCAAGCATGTTGTACAGGGCGACTATTTAGGGGCGTTTCCTCCCAAGAGGCAAAGAACCAACAATTTGAATACTAAAAAGCCAAATCTGTACAACGAATGTGCACTCAAAACTCAAGTTGTGAAATAAGACCAAAGTCCAGAATTTGACAAACAACTGGAACATTTTACCGGAGTATACGACCGCTGAATGCTGGGAAGACATGTATAAGTTTTTTGTACTGTATAGGTTTCCTATTCTTGCTATTTTTTTTTTTCTTTAAATTTACCTAATTTTACTGTTTTATGTTTTAATATGAAAGAATGTAGAATATAGATTAATAAAAAAGCCTGATTTTGTTTTTTGCTAAATACAGGAAATTGATGTAAAAAATCATGATTGTTGTTTCTTGAAACAGGAAATCGATGTCGATGCCGTGGCTTTTGACGGTGAAGTTGTATGCATGGCAGTGTCAGAGCATGTGGAGAATGCAGGTGTCCATTCAGGGGATGCCACTCTTGTGACTCCACCTCAAGATTTGAACGAGGCGACCTTGGCCAAGATTAAAGCCATCTGTTGTGCCATTGGTCGAGCCCTGGAAGTTACAGGGCCCTTTAACATTCAGCTCATTGCAAAGGTAGTTCATCTTAAAGATTTTAGTTTAGTTTATCCTGAAAGTAGTTTAGATTTTTTCACTTTGTTTCATGTGGATTGTATTAGTAATTGCATTAATGATTTTTGAGTTACATTAAATCACCGCAAATTGGCAGTGACGCAGCCTGTGTATTATGCTCTCTTCTGCGGTGGAGATACTCTGCCCACTTATTCTCAGCAAGAGAAAAGATATTACATCTTGCACTGATTATGTTTGTGTTCTGTTCAAAGTTTACCCAGCTAAATCAACTACATGGGAAATATGAGAAGTCAAGCCAGCTGACATGATATTGATGACGTGACCGGTCAAGTGCTGATTGGTTAGTGAAATATGGGCCTAGCACCATATATCCAGTTGTCTGCTGCACAGGACGGGATGCTTGACTTTTTTATAATCTAGTATACAGAGCCATCTTAACAGCATTGTGGGCCTCTGGGCAAACCAGTGTGCTGGGGCCGCAACAGCAACTACTCACAGAATTTGTATTTATGACAAGTCACTTGACATACACAGATTAGCATGGACCCCAGAGGGGGCCAAAGGGCAAGTGTCCAGCAGACCCATGCGTTAAGATGGCCCTGCTAGTGTTATGTCAAAACGCCACATGGATAATATACAGCTATTTGTGCCTGTTGTGGTGTGTTTACCTCATGTCGAATAAAGCAAATTTTGAAGCCATTATTTTGTCAGTCAGAAATTGTAAATCTGGCCCCCAGGATCGTGCCTGCTAGACAAACTATGAGAAAGTGGTGAAGTAGGCAGGCACATCAGCCTGTTTGTAACCAGGCTGAAATAGACACATAGCAAACGCTATAATAATGCAAATGTGATGATAATGCACATTCATTGTCTCACAGTTGAGTTAAATTATGAACCAGTATCACAGCACTCGGAACATTCCCATTAGTATTCAGTCCTCATCTTCAGCAGGATTATAATTTTTCTTCTTTTTCACGTTCACCATCTGTCAACCTTTGCTGTAGGTTCTGGTTGTTCGCCACTTCTGAGTTTTGCATTTTACAGATCTGGCTTATTTGTATAAAGGCTATTGTTTCTTGCAGATGCATTGTGACTTCAAAGGAAACCCCCAGTTGGTCGACTTTTGAAGATAGGCTTCTTAGGTAGGCAGTAGGTCTATTCTTGCCTTTCCACATTAGGGCCCCTTTGTACCCACACAAGCAATGGAGTTTCCTAATCCGACTACATTGTTATCATTAGTATGACAATAGTTTGCAATAAGGTCACAAGAATGTTTATTTCATGCTGTATTTTGATTTTTTGGAATGGTTCCCCCTTTTTTTCTTAACAGGACAACCACCTGAAGGTGATTGAATGCAATGTCCGAGTGTCCCGATCATTCCCGTTTGTCTCCAAGGCGCTGGACTACGACTTTGTTGCTACTGCTACCAAAGTTATCATGGGAGAGCAGGTGGAGCCAGTCGATGTGATTGCTGGCTGTGGCAAAGTGGCCGTCAAGGTAAGCTCTCGCTGGATGTTGTAGCACATGTCCAGTGAAGCTGTTCACCCTTTCACTTTTTAATGCTGCCAACCTGGCATCACTGCCTTACACATCTCACAGAAGTCACTGATCCTGCCTGGCATTGCTGTTTTGACCAGTCAAGCCTAATTAATGTCATTAGTTCTGTTTGCACCTGTGCAGTTTTATAGAAGGCCCAGTTGTATATTTACTAAAAAAAAAATAGCATGTGGTTGCAAAAAAAAAAAAAAAAAAGGGGGGGGGGGGTGTTCAGGAAAGAGGTTATTGTAGAAAGAGTTTTTTAAAGCAATGCTGACATATTTTGCCCTGTTCCTGTAGTCATTGATGTCAAGGTCATGAGTCAGCAAATCATTAATGATCACAATACCCCAGGGCCTGTAGCCCTTTAATTCTCCACTTTGTTTGTATTTATTGACTACCACCTTAAAAAATATCTAAGAATAATTGTTAACATTTATGTAGATACACTTCTAAAAACATATTCATGGCCTGTGTTGTTTTAAAGACTGTTTTTGTGCGTGAGAATTTTTGGGTTCTGGATTTTTTTCTCCTGAGGGGTAAAGGATTACTAGAAGGAGAATGTTGAGGAAAGCAATGATTGGGTAAGGGATGATTTGTAACATTCACTAGATTATTTTTTAATTTAACGGAGGATCACCAGTAGCATTATATTTTTCCTATGATTCAGCCAGAGCCAGGTAAGACAGACAGATAGGTTCAGCAGTAGGTGGAGGAGATTACGAGTGGGTGTGTTTCTGCGGGAAAAAAAAAAGAATATTCTGGAAGCCTGGCAAGTTTACAAGAATGACAGAAACAGATTATACTTGATTCAGACTTGTGCAGCAGGCAGCTAACGTCAGCTAACAATGGAATGTCTTGTTGTTCCTAGGTGCCGTGTTCTCATTCTCAAGACTCCATGGTGCTGATGTGCTGCTGGGTGTGGAGATGGCAAGCACCGGAGAAGTGGCCGGCTTTGGAGAAGACAGATACGAAGCTTACCTGAAGGCTCAGCTCAGCACTGGGTTCCAGATTCCAAAGAAGAACATCCTCATCTCTATTGGCAGCTATAAGGTGGGTTATATATCTCTGTCCGCATCTGATCTAGATTTGTTCAATGTTACAGCAGTGCCTGGAACATAGGCCCTCAACCAGCTTGGGCCAGATCTTCTTATCCTTCACCATCTTGTCCAACTCCCTGCATGTCCTGCGTGGTTGTTCATCTGCAACTGTCCTTTATGTGTGTGTGTGTGTGTGTGTCATGGGGGGGGGGGGGGGGGGGGGGGGGGGGGGGGGGGGGGGGGGGGGGGGGGAGGGGGGGAGGATTAAGTTTTCTCAATGACACAAGCTTAATTAAAAATATCTGGTATTTTATCATTTCACTACCTATCAGTGATATAGTTGTCCCCATTATTATGATCCTTTGTCTTCTCTCAAGTTTGGAGTCATCATTCACCATCATCATTAACTCCCACTTTTGCCAGAAGTGTCATTGGAAGGAATAGTTTCCTGTTCAGTGCCCAGTGGCTAGCCCTGGGTATTGTTGAATGTTTTTAGTATCATCACTTGTGCTTGAGCTCTGTCTTGCTATCATATAGGATATTTTCAGATGTGGCAGCTGTGTTTAGATGTGGCGTCTGTGTTTAGATGTGGCAGCTGTGTTTAGATGTGGCGGCTGTGTTTAGATGTGGCTGCATTTTAATGAAATGACCAAACCATTGAATCTGCTGCTGGTTAGTGAATGTGATGCAACAGGCATCTTGTCTTGTCAGTTCACAGTGTAGTGTTTAGAGCAGGGCTGAGTGCTTTTGTGCTGATACTAAAACTTTAGGCAAATACAAATTATACTTGGGCAGCTCACTCATGCAGTCAGTTTGTTTCTGTATCTGCCTATTCTTTATAGGGCCTATGTTACATTTTCTCTTTCTTCTAATCTCTCACTGTAGCATCAGTCCTCATATGGGAATTTTGTGAATGTATTTACCTTTTCTTCATAGAGCTTTCAAGTTACATTTCTTCTCCTCCTCCTTGTTCTTGTTCTTCTTCTTCGTCATCTGATCTCCTATTGTAGCATTGTCCCTCTGCCCTCTCATGTGGTAACTACATCTGTCTGCCTTTGATATGTAGAGCTTCTGAATTACATTTCTTCTTCTTCTGGTCTCTTACTGCATCGTTCCTCAGGTCGCTTGCATCAGGGCCTTGGTAGACGTGCTGCTGATTGGTTGGATTTTGCAGCTGAAGTTTTATACTTGGCCACTCTCACACCAGCCCTCTTTATTTGAATCCTCTGTAGACTCTGACAAGATACAGTCAGGAAAATTCCACTCTCTGCTGCAGTAACATGGATACAGAGAAGGGAAATCTTACTTAATTATTTTGTTACTGACAGTAATTATAAAGAAAAGACAGTGTGCTAATATTTCAGCTTCTCATAAATTGAAATGATCATTCTACAGCATAAAAACGAACTGATCCCAACCATGCGCACTCTAGAGAAGCTGGGGTACCAGTTGTTTGCCAGCATGGGCACTGCAGACTTCTACAATGAACACGACTTTAAGGTACTCTATGTGTCTTGTTCTTGTTGTGCTTCCATTCCTGTTCAGTGACTACATGCCATTTAATTTTCAATCTCCCTGTCTGTATCATTTACTGTATATAAAATTTGTTAAGGATTGCACACATAACTGCTCAAACAAAGATAACCGACATTGCCCCCTCAAAGAAAACAGCAGCACCTGTTCAATTGTAAATGATAAAATCTTGAGGATATGGGAAATCTAAGGCCATCTGGCAACATTTGTGTTGGTCTGTAGAGGAGTTTTTCAGATATTTGTTTAAATTGAGGACACATCTTTTGGAACACACTATAGATGTTTTCACGGATGCTAAAACCGGATAGACTGGATAAGGAAGTTTCTTTTTGCTCATCTTGCTCATGTGTTTTCATTTTCCAGGTGAAATCAGTGCAAGACACTTGATAATGATGTTAGCATTGTCTCTGTTTGACTGTGGGGAATATAGCTCTTTATTGCTGATCTGGCTCTATGGTTATCATCTTACAGGTGAAAGCTGTGGACTGGCCATACGAAGATACCGGTGAGGACACTTCTCGTAACGGTGAACAGAGAACGATTGCCGACTACCTGGCTGAACATATGTTTGACCTGGTCATCAACTTGCCTCTGCGTAGCACTGGCTGCCATAGGGCATCTTCCTTCGTGACCCAGGGGTACAAAACCAGACGCATGGCGGTGGACTACTCTGTGCCTCTGATCACAGATGTCAAGTGCACAAAGCTGTTTGTTGAGGTGACAAGTTTTTGATATTGATTGAATCCAAATTATTCAGTTTTGGTAATCTGCTTATTGTTGTGCTCCTGAACTTATTTTGGCATGAAAAATTAATTTGACACTTGAAAAGAACTAAAATTCCAGGGAAATCAGGAGATGAGGAGAAAATGCTGGATGTGACACACATTTAGAAAACCTAACAATATAACTAGAAACTCTTTGTGCCACATTGTGAAAGAAATGAACAAATTAAAAAAAAAAAAAAAGAAAAAAAAAAAAAAAAACACATCAACTCCTGATTTCCATGGAACTTTCCACACGCACACACATACACAGACAGACAGACAGAAGAAAATTAGTGATTGAGTTGAAAAAGATTGGGATATCGAGGGGAAACTAAGCGAAAGCAAAAGTCACGATATCTGGGCATAAATTAGTTGAAAGTATTTCCTTTTTCAAAGGGGCAAGGACGAAGAAAAAGCCATCTTTGTGATCAAAGGTTGTTTCTCTTGTGTGTTCCGGGCCTCCAGTTGGAGGGAAACAAAGAATAGATCCTCTACCATCTCTAACTGGCATATAAAACTAATTGGGAGTTTCTTCTGTCGGACTGCATCTGCCTGAGAAATGAGGAACCAATAGTCTGCATACAGTAAGCTAGATCTGAAAAATTATGTGCACACAAATCAAATTATAGAATAAGACCAAAGTTCAGAAGTGCACAGACAACCAGAACTTCCACCAGAGTTTACTGTTGATGAAGGTGAAAAAGAAGAGAAAGATATTGAACATTAAAGTATGAATTTGAGTAAAATATGCTGAAAGTTGCATCTTTGCTGCGACACATTGTTAAAGAAATTTAAATACTATTGTCTACAGGCTTTGAATAGAGTGAGGACCCAACCACGGCTGAAGACACACATTGACTGTCTGTCGTCTCAGAGGATCACCCGACTTCCAGGTATGTTGTTAGTGATGACCCAGTCTTCAGTTGTTATTGTTTCTTTTATAGTTTGGGGACAGGCAACTACCCAGAGAGCTTTGGCAGACCAGACTTCCAGGTATGTTGTTTGTGATGACCCAATCTTCAGTTGTTATTGTTTGTCTGATAGTTTGGGGACAGGCAACTACCCAGAGAGCTTTGGCAGACCAGACTTCCAGGTATGTTGTTAGTGATGACCCAATCTTCAGTTGTTATTGTTTGTCTGATAGTTTGGGGACAGGCAACTACCCAGAGATCTTTGGCAGACCAGACTTCCAAGTATGTTGTTTGTGATGACCCAATCTTCAGTTGTTATTGTTTGTCTGATAGTTTGGGGACAGGCACATACCCACAGAGCTTTGGCAGACTAGACTTCCAGGTATGTTGTTAGTGATGACCCAATCTTCAGTTGTTATTGTTTGTCTGATAGTTTGGGGACAGGCAACTACCCAGAGAGCTTTGGCAGACCAGACTTCCAGGTATGTTGTTTGTGATGACCCAATCTTCAGTTGTTATTGTTTGTCTGATAGTTTGGGGACAGGCAACTACCCAGAGAGCTTTGGCAGACCAGACTTCCAGGTATGTTGTTAGTGATGACCCAATCTTCAGTTGTTATTGTTTGTCTGATAGTTTGGGGACAGGCAACTACCCAGAGATCTTTGGCAGACCAGACTTCCAAGTATGTTGTTTGTGATGACCCAATCTTCAGTTGTTATTGTTTGTCTGATAGTTTGGGGACAGGCACATACCCACAGAGCTTTGGCAGACTAGACTTCCAGGTATGTTGTTAGTGATGACCCAATCTTCAGTTGTTATTGTTTGTCTGATAGTTTGGGGACAGGCAACTACCCAGAGAGCTTTGGCAGACCAGACTTCCAAGTATGTTGTTTTTGATGACCCAATCTTCAGTTGTTATTGTTTGTCTGATAGTTTGGGGACAGGCAACTACCCAGAGAGCTTTGGCAGACCAGACTTCCAAGTATGTTGTTTTTGATGACCCAATCTTCAGTTGTTATTGTTTGTCTGATAGTTTGGGGACAGGCAACTACCCAGAGAGCTTTGGCAGACCAGACTTCCAGGTATGTTGTTAGTGATGACCCAATCTTCAGTTGTTATTGTTTGTCTGATAGTTTGGGGACAGGCAACTACCCAGAGAGCTTTGGCAGACCAGACTTCCAAGTGTGTTGTTTGTGATGACCCAATCTTCAGTTGTTATTGTTTGTCTGATAGTTTGGGGACAGGCAACTACCCAGAGAGCTTTGGCAGAACAGACTGGGATGCAGTGTGATTTGATGTGAAAGTTTTATTGTATAATTAACCTCATGTTGGCTTTGATGATGGAATAGCATGGCTTATTGTATAGAAGCATGAAAAAAAAAAAAAGGAATTTGGAACTTTTATCAGCCTTGAAATGTGGAAATACTGAGGCTTAAACACATGATAAATTATAAACGCAGTTATATGATAAATGGATAAAGATAGAGTCCTGAATTCATCAAGTTCCTTACCAGCTGGTGTAGGTCTTGATGTGTCACCACAGATCTCAGTCTTTGTTTAGTGTTGTGGATCAATTCCACTGATGATTTTCCTCCATGCCACTGTCTGAAGCCATCCACCATCATTTCTCCTGGTCTGCCTCTGCCTCTTCTACCTGTGATCTTTCCAGTCATCACAATATTTTCCAGTGCTCCTTTTCTTATCATATGACCAAAGAATTTTGTCTCCTTCTCATGGTTGCATATAATGTTCTCTTTCATTTCCAGGCATTCATTGTTAGTTATTCTGACAATCCAAGGTATTTGCAACATTCTTCTCAAGAACCATATCTCAGTTGCTTCTAAACACTTCTTAATTTGTTAAAAGGTTATCATTGAACAAAGTCTACATATAAACAAACGCTCCACAGGTCTCATTGATATACACGTGCATGTGAGAGAGCCTGGCGCCACCTACAAGGAGGACTGGTCAACATGCACAGCTGCTGCGCTGGCCGGCGGCATCACCATGATACTGGCCATGCCAAACACCAACCCAGCCGTTGTTGACCAGCACAGTCTGTGCGTTGTTTCGCAGGTTTGTCATTTTGTTTCCACTTCTGCCCGGTTATTTCAAGAAATGAATCATATCTATTTCCTATGCTGCAAGAAAGATGGGTCTAAATTTAGTTTTTAGTTTGGCCAGTATAGATAGGATTAACATTTCTTTCAAAGTCAGAATGCATCTGCCAACAGACTGCACTGCATACAAATAAGCCAGATCTGTGAAACGGTTGGGCAGGGGAAAACTCAAGATTCTGGAAGAAGACTAAAATCCAGAAGTGGATGTGCTGCCAGGACTTGCCACCTGAGTGTACAGGTGGTGAATGTGATCTGAGTGTACAGCTGGTGAATGTGATCTGAGTGTACAGGTGGTGAATGTGATCTGAGAGTACAGCTGGTGAATGTGATCTGAGAGTACAGCTGGTGAATGTGATCCGAGTGTACTGCTGGTGAATGTGATCCGAGTGTACAGCTGGTGAATGTGATCCGAGTGTACTGCTGGTGAATGTGATTTGAGTGTACAGCTGGTGAATGTGATCTGAGTGTACAGCTGGTGAATGTGGTCTGAGTGTACAGCTGGTGAATGTGATCTGACTGTACAGCTGGTGAATGTGATCCGAGTGTACAGCTGGTGAATGTGATCCGAGTGTACAGCTGGTGAATGTGATCCGAGTGTACTGCTGGTGAATGTGATCTGAGTGTACAGGTGGTGAATGTGATCTGAGTGTACAGGTGGTGAATGTGATCTGAGTGTACAGCTGGTGAATGTGGTCTGAGTGTACAGCTGGTGAATGTGATCTGAGTGTACAGCTGGTGAATGTGATCCGAGTGTACAGCTGGTGAATGTGGTTTGAGTGTACAGCTGGTGAATGTGATCTGAGTGTACAGCTGGTGAATGTGATCCGAGTGTACAGGTGGTGAATGTGATCTGAGTGTACAGCTGGTGAATGTGATCCGAGTGTACTGCTGGTGAATGTGATTTGAGTGTACAGCTGGTGAATGTGATCTGAGTGTACAGCTGGTGAATGTGATCTGAGTGTACAGCTGGTGAATGTGATCTGAGTGTACAGCTGGTGAATGTGATCTGAGTGTACAGCTGGTGAATGTAATCAATAAGAAGAAGGAAAAGGTAATTCTTGTCCTAATTGATGGATGAGTTTAGTCCCTTTGATCTGCTCTCTGAAGGTTGACCGTACCATCAAGAAGTGTGAAAGTCTTCATCAGGATGGCAAACCAGCAAGGTAGATCCCAGATGTTGAACCCCCCCAAATCAGTTATAATTAGGACAAGCATGACAGTTTAAAAAAAAAAATTAAATTGTGGCTCAATGCAAGAGAAGCCACTGTTGTTTAGGTGTTTGTGCCCTGGTCTACTAATGCAGCCTTCTAGGGTTTAGCCCACTATCCCACTAGTGTTTTATTTATAAAACCTGAATCATATTTTATGTCAATGTAATGCATGTATTTGTGTGCATATTATCTGCCGTTTCATTGTGTTATCACAGTTTTCTATCTGGTTTCTTATTGAAGGTAGCCCGACATAACGCACGGTGTGACTACGGCCTGTATGCAGGAGCCAGCTCAAGCAATGCCCATACTCTGCCACTGTTGAGCAGTAAAGTGGTTGCCCTGAAGATGTACCTCAACGACACGTTCACTACCCTGAAACTGGATGACATCACCGATTGGATGAAGGTAATGGCGGCTTATCTTGTTTATCCATGGTTCAGCCATGTACCAGAAGTGTTTGTTTCTTTGTGCTGCACCAGCCTTTGTTGTGTTGGCTGATGTGAGCCTGTGTCTATAAGATAGTCAGTCCACATCCTCCTTGGTCTTCCTCCTGCTGCTGCCATGTTGTTTCACGTGAAAATGTCCTTTGTTTCAGAGTTAATATACACTGTTAGAAATATATATAGGTCAAAAATAAATACATTTAAATAACGCCTGCTGTGGAAAGACATGATAGCACTACTGGTATCACCAGGGGCCCAGAGGGGAAGTCTGAATGCAGGCTAGGATTATCTTGAAGGTCTAGGAGAAAAGGTAATGTGGCTAGTATTCTCTTGGTCTAAGAGGAAAGGTCATTTGGCTAGGATTTTCTTGAAGGTATACGAGAAAAGGTCATTTGGCTAGGATTTTCTTGAAGGTATACAAGAAAAGGTCATTTGGCTAGGATTCTCTTGAAGGTCTAAGAGGAAATGTCATGTGGCTAGAATTCTCTTGAAGGTCTAGGAAGAAAGTTCATTTGGCTAGGATTCTCTTGAAGGTCTAGGAAGAAAGGTCATTTGGCTAAGATCCTCTTGAAGGTCTGGGAAGAAAGGTCATTTGGCTAGGATTCTCTTGAAGGTCTGGGAAGAAATATCATTTGGCTAAGATCCTCTTGAAGGTCTGGGAAGAAAGGTCATTTGGCTAGGATTCTAATGAAGGTCTGGGAAGAAAAGTCATTTGGCTAGGATTCTCTTGAAGGTCTGGGAAGAAAGGTCATTTGGCTAAGATTCTCTTGAAGGTCTGGGAAGAAAGGTCATTTGGCTAAGATTCTCTTGAAGGTCTGGGAAGAAAGGTCATTTGGCTAGGATTCTCTTAAAGGTTTAGGAAGAAAGGTCATTTGGCTAAAATCCCCTTGAAGGTCTGGGAAGAAAGGACATTTGGCTAAGATTCTCTTGAAGGTCTGGGAAGAAAGGACATTTGGCTAAGATCCTCTTGAAGGTCTGGGAAGAAAGGTCATTTGGCTAGGATTCTCTTAAAGGTCTAGGGAAGAAAGGACATTTGGCTAAGATCCACTTGAAGGTCTGGGAAGAAAGGACATTTGGCTAAGATTCTCTTGAAGGTCTATAAGGGAAGGACATTTGGCTAAGATCCTCTTGAAGGTCTGGGAAGAAAGGACATTTGGCTAAGATTCTCTTGAAGGTCTATAAGGGAAGGACATTTGGCTAGGATTCTCTTGAAGGTCTATAAGGGAAGGACATTTGGCTAGGATTCTCTTAAAGGTCTAGGAGAAAAGGTCATTTGGCTAGGATTCTCTTGAAGGTCTAAGGAAAGGTCATTTGGCTAGGATTCTCTTGAAGGTCTAAGGAAAGGTCACGTGGCTAGGATTCTCTTGAAGGTCTAAGGAAAGGTCACGTGGCTAGGATTCTCTTTAAGGTCTAAGGAAAGGTCACGTGGCTAGGATTCTCTTGAAGGTCTAAGGAAAGGTCACGTGGCTAGGATTCTCTTGAAGGTCTTTGAGGAAAGGTCATTTGGCTAGGATTTTCTTGAAGGTCTAAGGTAAGGTCTTGTGGCTAGGATTTTCTAAAATGTGAAGGAGAAAGGTTACAAACTGCCCTGGTCAACAAATGCATTAACTACTGCTGAGCATGTTCCATGGTTGGCCATCTGACATGGTTATGGTTGGCCATATGACATGGTTATGGTTTGCCATCTGACATGGTTATGGTTGGCCATATGACATGGTTATGGTTTGCCATCTGACATGGTTATGGTTGGCCATATGACATGGTTATGGTTGGCCATCTGACATGGTTATGGTTGGCCATCTGACATGGTTATGGTTGGCCATCTGACACGGTTATGGTTGGCCATCTGACATGGTTATGGTTGGACATGTGACATGGTTATGGTTGGGCATGTGACATGGTTATGGTTGGCCATATGACATGGTTATGGTTTGCCGTCTGACATGGTTATGGTTGGCCATATGACATGGTTATGGTTGGCCATATGACATGGTTATGGTTGGCCATATGACATGGTTATGGTTGGCCATATGACATGGTTATGGTTTGCCATCTGACATGGTTATGGTTTGCCATCTGATGTGATTAGATGTGTATTCTCTATACTATCAAGCATTGTTTCAGAGGTCCTGGGTGATTAGTAACCCACTGGATATGCCAGTGTGTTGGGAAGTGAACAGACAGATAGACTGACTGACTGACATGTTCTGCACCACTTGCTGGTAGATTAACGAATGACAAGCTAGGTGTTGTAATGTTATTTTGGGAGTAAGTAAAGGGTACTGAGGCACAAATAGATCATTATGATCTGATAAAGTTGGTGCAGCATGGAGTAAGCAGAGGAACTGGCTGACACTCAACATTCAGGAGAAAGCTGAGTCAGACATACAGTCAGACTGTTCCTGGTGTTGTCGGAATTGTAACTCTGTGCTTGCTGCTGAAGATGGAGATGGAGCGCTTATGGGAATTTCCTACGTGCTGTGATGTTGGTTCTCAACTCATAAGTCACATGATTACTGATCTTGGATGAGTTCTACATTTTTGATAATTAATTATGAAAACATAATATGAAATAAGGAAAGTTTAGTTCTTAAGTTGTAAATTTGCCTGCTTCTGTCTGCAGCATTTTGAACACTGGCCCAGAAACGTGCCCATCTGTGCTCACGCTGAAGGAACCACCACTGCGGCAGTCATTCTGTTGGCGGAGCTGTTCCAGAGGCCGCTGCACATCTGTCATGTGGCCCGAAGAGCTGAGGTAAACACCTATCTACATGCTTGACTAAAATCACATTTCCCACAGGTCACCTGCATTCATACTCTGTATGCAAATAGATAATGTTGTGCCTGTAATTTCTAATGTTTAAAAAAAAAAAATGCATACATGGGTAAATGTAATTGGCGTTTAAATATTTGAAGAAAAAATCGACAGCTGATTATATTCCTGTGAGATCTTAACTTATTTATAAATGATTAACCTGCGCAGCATGCTCTTCTTGTGGGTTATGGGCCCTATTGTGAGAGAAACAAACAGAATAGGCTGACTTCCCCAGGCTTACTGCCCCAGGCTCACTGCCCCAGGCTGACTGCCCCAGGCTCACTGCCCCTCTAATGAGCTCGTCTACTTTTTAGGGGTGTCGGAGTACATCCGCTTGAGAGGCTAGAAACCAACAGTCTGCATACAGCTAAGCCAAATCTGTAAAAGGGATATACATGCAAGACTAAAGTCCACAAGTGGATGAAGAACCAAAATTGTCCCCAGGAGTGTGCAGCTGGTGAACTTGAAGAAGACAGAAGTGTAGCACATTTGGGATATGCGCATATATGCCTTCAATAATTAACAAGAACTTGTAGTTCTATTGGCCAGTTTCTAATTATGTTTCTGCTTTGTGCTCTACCACAATCCTTCCTGCAGTTGTTGAGTGGGTTTTTATTCCACCACTCAGTCATTGATTTACTTCAATAGATGCATGCTATACAGAGACAATTATTCTAATACAAACTCTGGGGACACGTCAACCATCTCAAGTTGACTATCGCTTTCTGTAAATATGTTCATATGAACATCTGGAAGTGTGAAGAAAGAGGAGATATTGTATTGATAGTTTTGTCTTAATGACTGTTTTGATTGTCCTACATGGCTCTCAAACTTGGAGCACAACTAAAACAGATGAAATCTTATTACAAATTTTTGAAAACAGTATTACGACAAATCATTTGACCTATCAAAGATGCAAACAGCGAGGAATAGAGAGAAGCAATAACGAAATTCATAGTCTGTTTAAATCAATGCTGATCACTGGCATCATGAGAGCTAATAGACTGAAATGGCTGGAGCATCTTGAGAGAAATTCAGATGACAGCGAGGTAAAAACTGTATACACAAGGAAGTTGAATGGTCATATACCACAAGGATGACCAAGAAGCTAATGTCCCGACAGACCTACAAACACTTGGTGTTACCAACTGGAGAGAAAAAGCCAACCAGAGAGATGAGTGACTGTGGGTTATATCTGCAGCAATGAACCTCAAGGGCTCGCACTGCTGAAGAAGTCCAACCAGAGAGAGATGAGTGGCTGTGGGTGATATCTGCAGCAATGAACCTCAAGGGCTCGCACTGCTGAAGAAGGAGAAGAAGACTGTTTTGATTGTAGACCTTGTCATGGAAACTTGCAGTTTTCTCTGTGTTTATGTTATAAAATGCTCAGCCTGCAAACAATTCTTTCTAAGGGATGAGTTGTTGAGGTAATCTCACAACATGCTTGGTTGATCACTGTTCTTGGCTTCTCTTATAGATGTCACTTATGCCTGGGTGCATTTAAGCTCATGGACATTTTGTTGCTTGTATTACAGATTGTGGTCATTCGGTCAGCCAAGGAGCGAGGCCTGAAGATCACCTGTGAGGTTTCTCCGCATCATCTCTTCTTGACCACAGATGACCTGGCCACAATAGGATCAGGTTGTGGTCAAGTGAGACCATCATTGGTGACCAAAGAGGACCAGCAAGCCTTGTGGGATAACATGGATGTTATAGATTGCTTTGCTACAGATCATGGTAGGGAGCCTGAAGTTGTTCTCATCTACTCGTTTGTTCATCCCATTCCTTACCACCCCATTGTGAGTTCCGGGCCTTCATTGTGAGTTGTAGGCCCCCTCATTGTGTTCCAGGCCCCCATTGTGAGTTGTAGGCCCCCATTGTGAGTTACAGGCCCCCATTGTGGGGAAAACAAGAATAAACCCACTGCCTCACAGCAAACATGTTGTAGAAGTCGACTGATTTGAAGTTTTCTTTCAAGTCGAAGTGCATCTGCCTGAGCGGCAAGGAACAACCAACTGCACACAAAAAAGACAGTAAACTAGATTTACACGCAGAACTCAGGCCCTGACACACAAACCGAAGTCCAAACTGTCGAACAACCAGGACTTTCCGCTGGAGCTTACAGCTGCTGAACACAGAAGAATCTCTTTCCTGTCACCTGCTTTTGTTTTACTTTTGCATTTTTGCTTCTTTGATTCTGCTTCCTTAGTGTCTGTCTGCTTCTTTTTCTGCTTCTTTAGTGTCTGCTTTCTTAGCATGTACATCTTCATCTTAGATATCTCTGCTTTCTTTTAGCATAGTATAGTATTTGTTTGTACTGCTGCCGAGATTCACTGCCGTATGTCAAAAGCAAAGGATTATTTTTATGCCAGTACTGCATCAGGCATATCTGGTAACTCATATTTTCAAGAAGCAGTGGACACTCGGTGAGTGATGTGATGGGCGGCACCATGGCATACATGTCCTATTAACCATTGGAGTCCAGGCCACCTTGGGAGCCAAGATAATTTTAAAAGAATACCTGCCCAATGTGTAATATCTGAACTGTAAACCTTCAGGCTGGCAGATATATCAGACCAAGGTCAGCGTAACATTGAAGCTCTCTCTTTCTGTTGCCATGCATATTCACCCTTTCATCTTGTACTAATCTGTTTAAGGAAGAAAAAAAAGCCTTTTCAGAATGTAGAGATTACAGCATTCTGTGAAACTGGGCCCTAAGAAACTTGAGGAAGAGAAGTAGCAGCAGAAGAAATGTAGCCTTAAAGATCCAAAGGGTTGAAACCTGTGCCCACTGCACTGACAGGCAGGCCTGCTAGTTGTTGCATTATCAGTGCCCCCATGTCACTAAAAAGATATTTTTCATATCTAAAGTAAATTTATTTTTGCATAAATTTAAAAAAAAAAAAAATAAAAAAAATAAAAGTAACCATAAATACAAGCAGCAGAGAAATAACTGCATTCCCCCCTCTGATCATGAAAAAAGGGACATTATAGGTTTATTATGATGCCACAATGAACCCCTAACATCTTTATTCAAAAATAAAATTTTTTTTTTTATGGGCACCACGTCTACAAACTGTGTAGTTGCATCCAGTGCCAACAGTGTTATTTCGGCATCATGACCACTGCCCAAAAACCTGTAAATGTCAGAAAACTGGCTTTCTTAGGACAACATAGTTAAATGCAGCAATATGTTTTTGGGCCCTGTTATGTCATACGAATATGTGCATCCATGGTGTACTTGCAGCTCCCCATACGGTGGAAGAGAAGAATGGACCCAGCCCGCCACCGGGATTTCCTGGACTGGAGACCATGCTACCTTTACTGCTAACTGCTGTCAATGACGGAAGACTGACAATTGAGGTAAGTCGCCAGGTTGGCTCGTCTCAAGCTCCTGTCCATCAGTTATGTATGTAGCTCCATCTCTTTGTTAATTCTGTGAATAAGTTCTGAAAATAGCTCTTGTCTGCAAGCTAAATTTGTTGGTGTCTGTGTGAATGTTACACAGCAGTTTTGCATCTAAAGAAAATAGCACTGACTTGTTGATTATATGTTCAACCCCTGTCCCAAACAACGCGCCAAGTGTGATCAGCTGTTCTCTGTGTGAAGTGTGTCACATGTGATTGTACTTCTTACGTGCACTTAAAACTTGATAAAAAACATGCGACTCTATGTTTGTTAAGGCCGTATGCATAAATTTTGTTGATTTTATTGTTGGTGTTATTGCTCTTCCCCAGCAGCTGATCACCTTGTTGGTGTTATTGTTGGTGTTATTGTTGGTGTTGTGACCACTGTTGGTGTTGTGTTTCAGAAACCTGTTATTCAGTTGGGCTTTCTTAGGACAACATAGTTGTGTTATGGTGGTGTTTTTTTGGTGTTATTGTTGGTGTTGTGTTCTGCATCCATGATGTCATTGCTCTCCCCAGCAGCTGGTCTCCTTGTTGTTGTTATTGTTGTTGTTATTGTTGGGACTGTTATATGCTACCTCCCCAGCAACTGCTGTCAACGACTTGTTGGTGTTACAGTTGGTGTTATTGCCAGTGTTGTGTTATCTCAAGCTCCTGTCCATCAGTTTGTATGTAGCTCTATCTCTTTGTGAATCTGTGCTATGTTTTGGTGTTATTGTTGGTGTTGGTTATTGTTAGTGTGTTGGTGTCTATGTGAATGTTACACAGTGTTTTGCTCTTCTAAGCAAATGATCACCTTGTTGATTATTATTGTTCAACCCTGTCCCAAAATAGCGCCAAGTTGGTGTTGTGTTATTCTGTGTGATTGTGTGTCACATGTGATTGTTAGTGTTATTGCTCTCTTAGCAGCTGATAAAACTTGTTGGTATGTTGGTGTTGTGTTATTGTTAGTGTTATTGTTGGTGTTGTGTTATTATTAGTGTTATTGCTCTCCCCAGCAGCTGATCACCTTGTTGGTGTTATTGTTGGTGTTATTGTTGGTGTTGTGTTATTGTTGGTGTTATTGTTGGTGTTGTGTTATTGGTGGTGTTCTTGCTCTCCCCAGCAGCTGGTCTCCTTGTTGTTGTTATTGTTGGTGTTGTGTTATTGTTGGTGTTATTGTTGGTGTTGTGTTATTGGTGATGTTATTGCTCTCCCCAGCAGCTGGTCTCCTTGTTGTTGTTATTGTTGGTGTTATTGTTGGTGTTATTGCTCTCTCCAGCAGCTGGTCTCCTTGTTGTTATTGTTGGTGTTATTGTTGGTGTTGTTGCTCTCCCCCAGCAGCTGGTCTCCTTGTTGGTCCTAAAATTAGTGAATCCCTATGTGGGTTCCAGAACCCCATTTCAGAAATGGGAAAAATTAACCCACTGCTTCTCCAACAAGCATGTCATAAGTGGCTATTAATTTGTTTGCTGAAGTTGAATGTGTTGGGCTGAAAGGTGCAGATACCACAGCCTAGCTGTAAACCACAACATGGTGTGCCAACTGCTCCTGCAAGGGCAGATGCTGAAGAAGAAGAAGTGGTTAGTGAAGAGTATAGTTCAGTGACAGACCTATTTATCATCATGTGTCATGCAAGATGGCATAGGTATTCCTGCCTGTCTACAGACGTGGTTCTTAATTGTGTTTGTTTGTCCACAGGACATCATCCTCAGGCTGCACACGAACCCCCGTCGTATATTCAACCTTCCGGAACAACATGACACTTACATCGAGGTCGACTTGGATCATAAGTGGGTTATCCCTACAGCAATGCCTTACACTAAATCAAAATGGACGCCCTTTGCTGGTCGGCCTGTGCAAGGCATTGTCCGACGAGTCGTGCTCAACGGAGAAGTGGCTGTCGTCGATGGAGAGGTCAGTACAAGGTCAAACAGTATAGTGTGAATGTGTTAGTGTGACTGTAGGTCATCGATGTAGAGGTCAGTATGAGATCAAATAGTACAGTGTGAACATTTTAATGTCACTGTAGATTGTTGATGGAGAGAGGTCAGTACAAGATCAAGCAGTACAGTGTGAATATGTTAGTGTGACTGTAGATTGTTGATGGAGAGAGGTCAGTACAAGATCAAGCAGTACAGTGTGAATATGTTAGTGTGACTGTAGATTGTTGATGGAGAGAGGTCAGTACAAGATCAAGCAGTACAGTGTGAATATGTTAGTGTGACTGTAGATTGTTGATGGAGAGAGGTCAATACAAGATCAAGCAGTACAGTGTGACTGTAGATTGTTGATGGAGAGAGGTCAGTACAAGATCAAGCAGTACAGTGTGAATATGTTAGTGTGACTGTAGATTGTTGATGGAGAGAGGTCAGTACAAGATCAAGCAGTACAGTGTGAATATGTTAGTGTTACTGTAGGTAATCTAATTTTTGTTACGTAGTTGGTGAAGGAATTTACATGTATGGCTTTCCCATATTGTTGGTGACAGAATTCACATGTGTGGCTTTAGGTATTGTTGGTGAAGGAATTACATGTATGGCTTTCCATATTGTTGGTGAAGAATTCACAGTGTGACTTTGCCATATTGTTGATGAAGAAATTTCATGTGTGGCTTTCAAGCATACAGTGGTGACAGAATGTTACATGTGTGGCTTTGCCATATTGTTGGTGAAGGAGGTTACATGTACAAGATCCCAGCAGTTGGTGTGAGAATTCACATGTGTGGCTGTTGCCATATTGTTGGTGAGAGGTCATTTACATGTATGGCTTTCCCATATTGTGGTGAAGAATTCACATGTGTGGCTTTAGCCATATTGTTGGTGAAGAAAGTTACATGTGTGGCAAGCCCATACAGTTGGTGACATATGTTCACATGTGTGACTTTGTATATTGTTGGTGGAAGAATTTACATGTACAAGATTTCCCATATTGTTGGTGACAGAATGTCAGTGTGACTTTAGATTGTATTGTTGGTGAAGGAATTTACATGTATGGCTTTCCCATATTGTTGGTGACAGAATTCACAGGTGTGGCTTTGCCATATTGTTGGTGAAGAAATTTACATGTGTGGCTTTCCCATATTGTTGGTGACAGAATTCACATGTGTGGCTTTGCCATTTTGTTGGTGAAGGAATTTACATGTATGGCTTTCCCATATTGTTGGTGACAGAATTCACATGTGTGGCTTTGCCATATTGTTGGTGATGGAATTCACATGTATGGCCTTGCCATATTGTTGATGAAGGAATTGACATTGTGGCTTTTGCTACAATTATTTGTAAAGTAGCTGCCAGCCACATATATAAAAATGTACTTAAGGAAATATTGTCCAAAATGGCAGTTGTGTGACTTTGCTGTGACACCAACGATGTGTATGTTGGTCTGTTTGTATGTGTGTATGCTGGTGCTTATGTCTGTAAGTGTGTTATGTGGTGACAGGTCTCAACCAGTCAGTCTCTATCTACAGCAGCCCCATAGTTTCTGCCTCTGCTATGCTCCTTCTGGCTATATGCCTCACGGTGAAGGTTGGGCATTCCTCAAAGGTGCCTTCAGGACCTCTTCTTGAATGTATGGAAGATTTAATGGTATCAGCAGCAGGTACTCTGTTGTTATCCCCCAGACAGTTATGTGTTTAAAACAAAAATCTTTTGTTTGAGATGATGTGGAAAATTACTCTGGTATACTGAGTCAGTTTAAATGGTGTGGAAATGGATAAAAGAGTAACAGAATAGAGCAGACGGAGGTGCATGAGCCGAGATGTTTATATATTTACTTCTTTTTCTTAACTGTTGAACAGGTGATCGCCCAACCAGGACAAGGTGTGGACGTGAAGTCTCTGCCAGTCCCCCTGTCAGTTCTTAAAGGACCAGAAACCCTGGGCACCCAGCTCACAGTTCAGATTCCTGGTAGTGGAGGGGCTCAGAACGTACCTGAACTTCTCAGCCCTCGGAGAAACCTCTCCTTCCACCAGGAGAAACCAGCCTACTACCCACCTCCACGAACACCGAAACTGCCGGAAACTGCCCCCTTCCCATTCATTGGTGAGTTTTCCCCCAACTGTTTCATGACTTTTGTGTGCACGATGGCTTGTTGTTTGTGCATGTGGCATTGTCACTAGAACTCACTAGTTGCCTTGAATTTGAACTGATCTCTCAGTTGGTAGCAAGGTTAGTACCCAAAAAAAAAAAAACAACACATAAATGACTTTTTTAAAAAGATGAGTGCAATTGGCAGGGAAATTTGTGCATTTCAGGCAGGAAAACAAAAATTCAGATCACAGCTTAGTTGAAGCTTGTGACTAGAGCAAGTGCTGTTGACTGTTTTATTACAAAAAAATAAATAAATAATAGAGGATTATTCATCACACACACAAGGACAGTTATGAAAGACAAATTTGTCATTTGTTTATTATAAACCCAGCTGTCCTAGTCTCATAATCACCGTAACATTGCTGGAAGCCAAGATAACAGTCTTGAGAATTGTACTAGTCCAACTATAAATATACTAAACCCAGGGTAGATACTGCAGCAAGGAAAGCATACAACTTCAAATGATTGTCCATGAGCCTGTTTATGAAGCTCTCCAATCAAATAATGCCAGTTGTGTGTGCTGCTGCTTGCACCATGTTGCACACGTCTCTGCTCAAAGGTGTGCAGGTCTGTAATGAAGGCATTGCTTAGCACCTTGATTGTCAGGGTCCAGGAAAGGCCCTTCCGGGGATCTCTTTGGTCAGCCAGCACTTGACTTGTCTTTGCAGTGTTGACTCACTTCCTCTGTTGCTTTCAGAGATTTCACCTTGATTGTCACGGTCCAGGAAACACTCTTCTGGGGAGCTCTTTGGTCAGCCAGCACTTGACTTGTCTCTGCAGTGTTGACTCACTTCCTCTATTGCTTTCAGATATTTCTGCACCTCTTTCTTTTGTGCAGCCTAGATTTTCCTGACAGGAGACCACTTTCTGGTTTAGAATATAGTCCTACGTAGATTTTGTTTTTATACAATAGCACTCCTAATGTGTTATCTATATTATCATTGGTCTTTAGACAAACTGTCTGCTGGTGTAACATACACAGGAGCTATGCTTAGTTCATGTTTGAGCTGACAATAGTTTTATATGGGAGTATCTAGAACAGTGACAATCTGAATGAGAAGCTGATTTAGTCAGCGTCCCAGTTTTACAGTCGTGAATGATACATTGAACATTGCAACTAAAAAGCTTTCATCAGCATGGACAGTGATAAAATTACAAACAAAAACAGCAAAATCACTTATCTGGTGAGATGAGTTCTGTCACAAAAATATCCACATCACTTCTGAACAGAAGAAACTCTTGAGTGTGTGTGTCATTGTAGGAAAGAGATACTAGACATAAAGTTGCACAGAGAAGTCGGATGTGGTCTGCAGCAAATGATGAATTGAAGCAAGGAATTTACTCACAAGTTTTAAAAAAATCTTTTTATTGGACATTGATACCTTTAGGAGAGAGAGAGAGAGCCTTTTAGACGAACAGACCGTTCTCAAGAGACCTACAGACTGTAATTAGAATGGCTAGACTTGATATCCGTCACCACCATGTCAGACTCCCCAGTGACGCTGAAAATTGGGGCTAATCTAAGCAGACAAATGTAGTATAACTCGCTCGTTTCTCAGCAGACAATAGTCTAACTTGGTCTTATCTCAGCAGACAGTAGTGTAACTTGGTCTTATCTCAGCGGACAGTAGTGTAGCTTGGTCTTATCTCAGCAGACAGTAGCCTAACTTGGTCTTATCTCAGCAGACATTTGTGTAACTTGGTCTTATCTCAGCAGACAGTAGTGTAATTTGGTCTTATCTCAGCAGACAGTAGTGTAGCTTGGTCTTATCTCAGCAGACAGTAGTGTAAAATGGTCTTATCTTAGCAGACAGTAGTGTAACTTTGGTCTTATCTCAGCAGACAGTAGTGTAACTTTGGTCTTATCTCAGCAGACAGTAGTGGAACATGGTCTTATCTCAGCAGACAGTAGTGTAACTTGGTCTTATCTCAGCAGACAGTAGTGTATCTATCTCAGCAGACTGTAGTGTAGCTGGGTCTTATCTCAGCAGACAGTAGTGTAGCTTGGTCTTATCTCAGCAGACAGTAGTCTAACTTGGTCTTATCTCAGCAGACAGTAGTGTATCTTGGTCTTATCTCAGCCGACAATAATTTAACTTGGTCCAACCTCAGCAGACGGTCACAGTGTATTAGTTTTATCTCAGCAGGCTTAAAGCTAAAAGCATAGTAATAGCCTGCATGAAGCTGACCTGTCCACTACTGACCACAGAGTTTGATCTTGTTTTTGTCACCTCCTCACTGTTTGATTTAGTTGGTGAGCAGACGGAGCACAGCGTGACACGTGAGAAGCCAGGTAGAACAACTTTGTGCATGCTGTTCACAGCAGTTATATTCCTACTGCATGCTTCTTGTAGAAGCCTTCTGCCTGTAGATTTTAAAAAATTTTAAATTTGGTGTCATTTGATTAATTTGATTTTATTTGAATTTTTTTTTCTTGCAAAGCTAACCAATTTATGTTGATTAATTTGGTTTCCTGTGAATTTTTTATGTTGAAACTAACCGATTGGTGTTTTATGATTAATTTGGTGGTTTTATTTGAATTATTTGTTGTGAAGCTAACTGGTTGGTGTTGTTTATTAGGCTAATCTGCTGGCAGCTAGATGAAACTCTAACACAGTGTTGCAGCAAGTTTATATCATTAGTCACATCTGTCTTCCATTCACGTACACACGTGTACAAAATATAGAACAGCATTGTAACAGTTTACATAAACCCTTTTCTCCTCACACATGGGAGTACTGTCACTTTCTCACTTACCCACATGAGCACACACACACATGCACACATACACACCCGACTATGCTCTCACTTAGACACACATTCTTTCTCATTTAGACTCTCACAGACACATTTATAGGACTGTTGTCTCTCTCTCCCTCTCTCTCTCTCTCTCTCTCTCTCTCTCTCTCTCTCTCTCTCTCTCTCTCTCTCACTTTCTCTCTCTCTCTCTCTCTCTCTCTCTCACACACACACGCACACACATGAAAACCCTTCTCTCTCTCTCGCATGTGCGTGAGGACGGAATAATATGATGATCCATAGACGTGGCCTTTAAGCGACTTTGTCTGTACACATTTATTTAGTGTACTCACTGGTACAGAGGCTTTGGCTTCAGCTGGACTGTCGTGTGGAGGCACTCATTCTCTGCAGCTGCTGTGGATCTACCATATTTGTCTAGGTATAAGACAGCCCCTATTTTGTTTAGCCCAAAATGAAGAAGTCAATATTTAAAAAACTTACTGTATGTAAGACAACCACTCATTCTAAGCTGGCAACATTTGAGAGAACATTGTCTTATACATAGATAAATACAGCATTTGGTTGGGCTGCAAATTGTGGCAAGGTTGTGGTGTTTGATGTTGATTTATTACATGCTTGTTTTGATTATGGGTTTGCTTTTTATCTTGTAGTTTAGGTTAAGCTGGTGGTAATGTTTGCATTCCCATTTTATTTTCCCAAGCCCCATCAGTGTAACCTGGGCTAGAGACAAATCAAATAGCACAAGAAATTAGTTCAGTAACATAATAACGGCATGACAGCAATAGCTCACTAACAAACAATAATGTGTAACAAAGAATAACTAAGTAAAGAATTGCATTTTGTTCATGATCAGTTTATTTGAATCGCAGCTTTCATCTCAAATGGTCTCATCATTACAGCTTTCATTGTAGATTATCTCAGCATTACAGCTTTCATATCAGACTCACATCATTACAGCTTTCACATAATATTATCTCAACATTACAGCTTTCATATCAGATTATCTCAGCATTGCAGCTTTCATATCAGATTGTCTCAACATCATAGCTTTCATTTTAGATTGACTCAGCATCACAGCTTTCATGTCAGTGACATGCTACACAGGTTTCAGATCTATCAATAAATGGAAATAAACCAGAACGGGATGAGTAGTTTACATCAGCATGAGCAGAGAATAGAAACAAAACAGTCTACACAAGAATACACAATGTCTTGGATTCTGTTATCACAGATCCACACCCTCAGAATGCTACACAGATTTGCACTCTGCTAACATTCCCCCAGTTTGATTCGCTGGAGGGGACAACGTGCAAAATGAAAGTGATTCATGGCTGCAGCCACAGCCCAAATCTGCCCATACCTGCAAATATTAATGCTCTTCTATGACTGTGTTGTTTTTGTAGAGGAGGGCCTTTCGCTTGTAGAGATAAGCCAAGGTAAATGAGTTGATGGTGTCTCTGTTGTCTCAGCCCCTGTGTTGTGTGTGGTGGTCTCCGGGTGGTGTTGTTTACTGTTAGTGCAAACAGATCCTAGGCAACATTCTGTGCCTCCACATCTCTAGTTAAATCTGCTGTCTGAAACTGCCTGTCGGGGCATTGCCTTATGAAACCAGTTCACTAATGTCTAAGGGGCCCGCCCTGATGTAGCGGCTTAATGCTTGCCTGCAGATCTGAAGGTCGTGTTTTCAAATCCGAATGGTCCTGGATCTTTTTTTCAAAAATGGCTTTAGTTCTCAGATCAAGCCAGCCTTAAATGGTTGCCAGGTAAAAGTCCTGGGAAGTATAGGCAGCCGGTGTGATGCTGACCGCACCACCCACAAATTGTCATTGGTCTATAAAATATGGGTCTAGAACTATGTGCCAAATACAACTGAAGATGTGGAAAAGGGTCCTTTGCTTGACTGATCTCTAAGCCAAAACCTGGCGTACAACAACACAGCTGCTTGTTGAAGTGTTGAAGTATGTCAGTGGAGTCTGTGAGCAGAGGTCATTGTTATTGAAGAACCGTTACCAGTTAAACCTTAGAAACCACAACCAACCTTTTTAGGATAGAGGTGCCACTTGAAAATGAGAATTCTGTGCTTGTCCATCTCAGACACGGCGACCACTAAACCTGATATTCTTATTAGTCTTATATATTTATTATGTTTGTTGTCTACTAACCAACATAGAAAATATACTTACCACCATATGTAATTGTTGGTGATCATACAGCCTTAAACAATCCACCATATGTGATTGTTGGTGATCATACAGCCTATGCCCGGCTCTCTAGCGAAGTTGGTTAAACCTGACTTTCGCGGCGGCCGGGTGACGAACTCCTTGTGGTCCGGGTTCACTCCCGGGGGTAGGCAGAAAAGCCACATTTCTCCCAGATTAACGGTACCTATAATGGAATCAATGCCGAAGGGTTGCGATATCCATAGTACCGAGCCAAAGGGTTTACAGCTCATGGTTTCTGGATACGTTAAAAAAATAATTAAAAAAAACAAACAATCCACCATATCTAATTGTTGGTGATCATACAGCCTTAAACAATCCACCATATGTAATTGTTGGTGATCATACAGCCTTAAACAATCCACCATATCTAATTGTTGGTGATCATACAGCCTTAAACAATCCACCATATGTAATTGTTGGTGATCATACAGCCTTAAACAATCCACCATATGTAATTGTTGGTGATCATACAGCCTTAAACAATTATTTGTGCTAGACCCTGACTGTAGTTAAATATTGTTGTATCAGTAGTGGGGGTTGCATGTATTGTGGTATTGTTCTGTGGTCTCTTGAAGTGAAGCTTCTCCACTAGTGTTGTCAACAGTTATTTAACATTAGTACTGTATGGCACAGAAACCTGGACACCAACAAGAAGTTAGAAAGATGAATTGAGAGACTCATGTTGTGGATATAATGAAGAACAGCTCGTGATCCATGGAAACCAACAATAAAATGCAGAAGTTTTAGTCAGCCATGGACAATACAAGAGAGCTGATGAAATAAAAGTGACAAGTGGAATTTGTCGTCACTATAAAAGATTTAAAACTTGTATGAAAACCAAACTTATGGGAGAGATTTATGGCAGGCAAGGCAGACAGTGATACAAGTGGGGAAATTGTATGAAGAGATAGACACATACCAGTGTACCAGAATGCTTTACCAGGATCCACACCCCCCCCCCCTCCTCCCTTCCACCCCGCCCCCCCATATTATGAAAGAACCATTGCAGCTAATTGTTGTGGTGGAGATAGCACGCAACACTGTGAATTGTTTGTCTGTCATCTGTGTCCATGAAATGTCTGCGGAACCTTTTTTGCTATGCAGCTGTTTCAGTCCCAGGAGGTTTCACACACAGATGTCCCTAGGGAAAATAACTACATTGAACAACCAGGAGGGGCCACTGGAGAGGCCAGATTTCTTTAGTTCATTCTGATCAAATGTAAAAAGTATGAGAACACAGTATCAGGCGGTTGAGGCCAGGTGTGAGACATGCACTTCTTGGGACTGGAAAAGGTTTATTTGTGGTTTCAGAGGTCTGGTGTAACTTTGTGTTTAATGTAGTCATGGAAATGTAACATTTAACTTTGTATCTCATGTAGTGACAGACATGTCTCATTTAACTTTGCTTCAAATAGCCACCAGCCTGTTTAATTAACACTCAAATATTTACAGGGATTTTGTGTAACTTTAACATGACCACATTATATGTACACTTGGAAATGAAATAATTATGCATTCTATAATGTGTACAAAAGATGTAATTATGTCTGTGTTTGATATGTACAACTATGCCTATAACAATTATTGTGTAAACTGTCCTCTCTGTGTTACTGTGGCTCAAAGTAAGCAGTGTATAGTACAGTTGTAACATGTCAAGCATGTCATAGGAGATATCTAAGGATGATTGGTATAAGACTCGCTACCTCATATTATAGAAAATGTAGCAACCAGTCATGTACAAGTTTACAAAAGGCATTCCTTTTACACCCAAAAAAAATTCAGTGTCAGACCAATTATTTTATCATGGTCATTTGTAGGGATATATGTTAATACAAAAATTGTGGTTGCCATGGCAATAGCCGCCATCTTGGGGAAAAACAACATGTACTTAGAATCCTACAATTTTAATAAACAAACATAGGTATTTAAGAAATAGAGAATGGATTCTATGTAGAGGTACAGGTGTTGTTTATTTACGTGAAAGATGTTTCGAAATATTTTTCATAGAATTCTAAAATGTAGGTTTGTTGAAAAGAAAAGGCCCAAAAAAATGTAGCATTATAAGAAAATAATCAAATTTGAAGGAAAAAAACAACTCTAAAATCTATTGTAAAAGAAACCTGTCCCTATAATATTGTTGAAGAAGTATCCACACCAAATTTCTTGTTTCTAGTTTTATATTAGCTGAGATTTTTGGAGTTCACCCACAACAAACAAATATAGAGATGTGAGAACACTGACTTTTACATTTTTTTTTAAATCTTAAAAAAGTACATGGGTTGGTGTCTTTAGTATTAACTTTTCAATGCTA